TAGCTTTTGGAAGAGAAGAGCATGGGAATGGCAAACAGAATAGAGTATGAGTGTGACCTAAGTAAAGGTTGGATGGAGCTCTGAGCAACTTGGGCTACTTGAAGGGTCTCATTGCAAGGGGGTTGGACTAAATGACCTTTAAAGAGTCCCTTCCAAACAAAACTATTCTGTAATTTATTCTATCAGAAAACATGGTAAATTTGCCACTCATTAAATTGATTTTTTTATTATTATTAATTGTTATTGATTATCAAACCTGTAGCACCTTGTATTCTGACACTCAAAGGTTAGGCTCATTTCCTACCTCTCTTCTGAAATGACCGTAGCCTAGTAAGGAAGCCTTCCCCATATGTCTTTGATTGCATATGTAGTTATCCTCAGGAGGAAACAGAGTTATTATAAACCATATTTAAAGACGTTGTATCTACACTGTATCTAACTATACAATGCTTTTGTAAGACCAAACCAAAACCTATGAAGAGCCTGACTCCTCTTTATCACTGGCTTCCCAATAATTTTGAATCATCAGTTTTTAATGGGCAGCTTCAAGCTGTGCTTTGCTTATGTCACATTGCCCACGAACAGCTGGAATGGGACTTATCTCACATAATTTCTGGTGTCTGGAGTCACCAGTGAGTTTCCTTAGAGTTCATGGAGAAAAACAGGTACATCTGCAGCACATCGGCTCATCCTCCCCTGCCTGCATTTACATTCTCTTGCTCTTAATATGTTTTGTTCCCTGAATAACAAATGTAAAACACAGCAGTGCAGTTGCTGCATGTACCTTCCTTCCAGTGCAGAAGAGATGAGTCATATGGCCCCAGCTACAGAGCCTTGGCTGCTGCCTCAAACTGTGTTGTTTGGAGTCTTTTTGTTTGAGAGGTTGTCTGATCCCATATCTCATGCATCAGGCAGGACAAAAGCTCGCAAGTGCTGCTGGATGCTGCCCCACCAGGCTGGCAGAGCTTCTCATACCAAGGGGAGATATGGCACCTTAGGAGCCTTCTAAAATTTTGTGCCTCTGAATGATATGCACAGCACCTAGTGTTACTGATTTCTTTCCTTAACCATGATAAGGCAGGGCTTGTGACTCAACAGACCATCAGGAGGCATTTTCATTTAAATCCCCAACTCTTTTAAGTTGTGCTTTTCGGTGTTCAGCTGTTACTATGCTGAAATGTGAAAAGCATAGCCAAGAGGTGCCTTTAGCTATTGTAGCTGTTGGCTCACTCTTGGGAGAGGCAAAACTGCATAATTTATCTGATGTTTCTTCTGAGTAAGACAAACATATTTTCAAAATCAAAACTCAAGATAGGTTTGTGGTAACAGTGTTGAGATTCCTGAGATAGTTCTGTGCTAGTGCCCTGGCCGTCTGTCTGATAAACCCTGCTAAAGTTGCTCTTGGCACCCTCTGACAACCTGGCAAGTGGGTATATTCCTCTCAATGGAGCATTTTTCTAGTACCAGAGCTGAACTGGAAAATGAACCTGGAGGCGCAACTCATCGGCCAAGCGCCTGTGGAATGTGAAAGGAATCCAGACATTTAATTCCCTGGTAGCTCTCTGGAAAATCCCTGCCTTGCTGCACTTGGTAGCTTCAGTGTGTAACCCTGAGCAGCTGGCATTGCCAGTGGGCACCAGAACAGCTGGGAGAGGGCATGTTCATGAGACATTTCTCTTTGCAAATGCTCTGTCACACAGCAGAGGTGCTGTTCTAGAGATCCACTATTTTCCTGTTAAATGTGTGGTGAAGGGCACTGATCGTAGTAATTATAGAAAACTAATAATAAAAAATGGAGGGATATGACTGATAAAATCCTCTGTAAAAAATCCTGGCCATCTTAGCAGGCATGACATATCAGATTATGATCCCTCCTGTTGTTAAGTTGCAAAGGGGCAAAAGGCACACACACATCTCTGAGAGCATTTGTCCCTCTAATCTTGTCAGCAAAACCCCTTTTACAACTAACAGGGATACCACAAAGGGCAGTTCACCCCGTCATAGTATCTAGGAGTAGCAGAGTGAATCACCCTCTGCAGTGCCCTATCTTAGAAGCTGATATGGAAGAAGCCAACACCTGACTTAAAATGACCACATTTCAATGAGATAAACCCACCCACCCACGTACATAAACATTTAGCTCACATGGCTGAAGTGTATGGACTGTTGTGTTTATAAGTTCAGTACTCACCATACATCAAAGAAGGCAAGTCTAGTCAAAATATACAGAGAAAAAAAGGGATCTTTTTCCTCATGTCACCACCCCTCTCAAGCACCACTACATAGAAGTAGCTTAAGTGGCCCCAAGATGTCAGGGATTTATTATTACCTCTAGCTAGAGTATTAAATCAGCAGCTGTGCCTCTGAAGTGAAGGTTGGCCATCACTAAGAAAGCTTCTGATCAGTTGCTAGTGGCTTCTAAATCAACAGCTTGCCTACAGAAAAAGAAACTCTCTTAGGAACAAGCAACTCCCTTGTCAGCTGATGTTCAACCAGCACACAAACAGATGCTAATGACTTCCAAAAGGGAGAAAGGTCAAACTCAAAAATCCTGTAATTTTCCTGACCTAAAGGAGACCAGTTTCATTGTGGTTGAGAATGGTATCACCATTAACCTCCCAAAATAGTGATTATTGTCACATTTAGCACTGGTAATGAGACATATCGTTTCATCTGGTTCTATTTCTTTGTATAAAGCATGATTGTCTGTGTGTGTGCTGCAGGAAATGACTTATTTATTGAGCAGATTGCAATATGAACTGGAGTGCAGTATGCAGAATATGACTTCACCAGATGGGAAAGCATTTTACCCTAAGAGATGTTAATGACTTGCTGGCAGTTCATCCGGGTCATTATCAGAGATATCTGTTTGCTACCAGGATGGGAAAGGATGGCCCCTGCCTACCAAAAAAGCCATCAGCATTCCTAGACAGCTGAAGGCAGACACTAGACTTGGGGCAGCAGTGTGGAAAATGTTTCCAGAATAAATTGATACTGATAATCCCAGGAGTGAGAAGTGACTTGAAGTTGAAGAGAAGCCAAGGGGACCCCAAGGAAGGGGAAGTAAATGAACTGAGGTTTTCTGTCAGGAAAGGGTATTAAAGACATGAATCTTGGGTGAAAAGTGGGGCCTTAGATACGGCTCATTAGATGACAGTGAAAGAAGTTGTTCTTGGAGCTGATTTGCTGGTAAGCAAATAAGTGCTTGTGCTTTTGTCTTCTTTCCCTGTATCTAGATCCTTTCAGGGTGTTGTTTGCATTTAGGCTCTGTAAATAGGCACAAGAGTCTGCTATGCGTTAGACTGGTGTTAAGGATGATGAGAATGTGTCTGAGGCACCTGGCAGACAGCAAAACTATTCTCTGTTGTGTGGCTGTTGCAATCCTTAACCTTAAACACTAGTGCCCCAGCTGTGTGCTGAAATTCATTTCTGTGGGCATTCAGATGATAAAAGAGGGCTTCCTCACACAAGTGCAGAGGCTATATATTTAGGAACATGAATGAGGAGGATCTGTTTGGAGCTTTCCAGTGGCCTGTATTAGCTGGGAAAGAGCATAACTCTCCAGCAAAAGAGTAAGAGAGGGTCCACACCCACCGGGTTTTAATAACAGACACATGTTGGCAAATGACATTGCATTTCAAGTATCAAGACTCCAATGAAATGACTAATAATGTGAAAATGGAAGAGTGGCTGATTTTCTTTCTTTCTTTATAGCATGCATGTTGCCATGGTTTAACTCATCACGTGTATGACAATATCTTTAAGGTGGTCTTGGCTTCCTAAGTCTGTACGAATGTCTCTAAATAACTCTCATTTGCAGACATGATGAGTGCATACAGCTAACACGGAAATGCCTCTGAAAAAATACGACTTTTTGTACCTGTGCTGTGAGTTTGTGCGTGCACGCAGGATGATATTACACTGACATCATGATCCCAGCCGGCCAAAACTTCAAACTAACCCTAGTTCCTTTTCTCCTCTTTTGGCAAGGACATGTCAACACATGCCAGATGAAGGTGACCCATGTGATGTAACCACTGACACCCAGATAGTGAGTCTGGCTGGAATGGGGTTAACATTCCCCATAGAAATGCTGTACTTTGCACTTGTGCCTAGGAGAGTGTTGGTAAGCCACCCATGTGTTGGGTGCTGCTCCAACACCCCCAAAGGCTGGTAGGCTGGGGGTGGGCAAGAGGCTGGGAGGGGAGGCAGCCAGGACAGCTGCCCCAGCTGTTCAAAGGGATATTCTATACCATATGACATTACGCTTAACAATAAAGGCTAACAGAAAATGGGCTCACTTCATTATTGAAGTGTTTGTCTTCTGAAGCAGTCACTTTGCATACTGGGGCCCTATTTCCAAAGAAGTGTCTGGACATCGCCTGCTCATGGGAAGTAGAACATCCATCTCCTTTGGTTTTGCTTTGCTTCTGCACACAACATTTGTTTGTTTGTTTGTTTGTTTCATTTGACTGCCTTTATCTTGACTCATGAGATTTTATGTCTTATTTTCTCCCCATGTCCTGATGAGGAGGGGGCATGAGAGAGCCCCCTGGGCCGACATTTGGCATCCAGGCAAGGTCACCAAGCCACTGTATGGTACATTTAGTCCTGGATAAATGAGTGTAGTATTTGTCATGTTGCCAGACGAGCGACTGGGAACAGTCTGTGTTCAGAAAGGCAACTTGCAGTTCTTTATAAATTAAAGCAAATGCATGGGGGAAAGACCACTTCCATCCTGTGTTCAGTGGAGCAAAACTATCTATATAGGATTTTATTACTCACTGATTTCTTCTCCTCATGACAACAGTATGAGTAGCCACTTGTGCTAAGAAGGCAGCCAGAGGAGTGACTTCAGAGAGTGCCATTCCCTTCTGCAGACCTGTTCTTGTGACTCCATGGGAATTCTCAAGCACTCACCTATGGCCATGTGTATTTGCCCTGAACAAAAAATTGAAGAACATAATGGAATCTATTTCTAGCTCAGTTAAACAGAAACAATGTAAATCTAATACTGTTAGTGGCAGTATTTAGTACAGTGACCTGAAAAGCTAATCCAAATTCATCATTTTCTAGTGGGTTGTTCAGGATTTTTTTTCCTTTTATGATGCAGCTTCTTTAACTCAGATGAACTGTTACATGACTAAGGGATCTGCTCAAAGACAAGAGATGAGAAGTTTGCCAACCCCATAGATTAGTGATGTGCAATTAACTGAGTAATTTTAGCATCTTAGTGCCTCAGGTCTTTTATTTATACAGCGATGGTGTTTCACTCTTCTTTCCTTGGAGGGAGTTGCATAGAATGCAGCAAACACCTGTAATGATTTTCAATAATTTCAGCTGCTATAAAACCCAAAGTATTCATGGATCTTCAAAATTTTGTTCCAGTGGAATGAAGAACTTAGAAAAAAATAACGTTAAGGACTACATATTTCGGGCTCTAAGCTGTAGTTAAGATCTATATTATAGACTCTGTTAGAGTGCTATTGGTCTTATTGGTGATTTTCCTTTTCACTCAATGGGTTTGATTCCATATTTCTCATACTCTCTTATCTATTATCCCAGGCTGGAGGAGTTGCTGCCGTAAATATGTAGCTGGTGCCTACTTGTGAGGTCCTTGGCTGCCTGGCAGGCCTTAAAATAAGGAAGGTAAACTAGATGAGTGTAGCTTCTTTCTTGCTCTTATGTAATCTTGCCTGTTTGGGTTCCTATGGCAGAGCCACTGATGGTTACTGAGTTTTTCTCTAGTACAGCAGTCTTAATGAACACTGAAGGATGCCAGCTACCTGCCTGTGTGTCTGCAGTGGTGAACCACACCCCAAGCTTTCTGGTGCTTCCTCAACTCCCCAGACCTTTTGTGATTCATGGATGCTCATGGAGAGTAAAACCTTAAACATAACAGTGCTTTGGAGAGATGTGCCTTCAAATTCACATCTGCAAAAAGTTACTGGCAGCAGAAACATTAAAGAAATTCAGCTCTGATCTCAGTCCTCAAGTCTTTGGCTTGCTGTGGTGTGATAAGTCATTTGAACATGTACAGCCTTGGAGTAACTAAGTGGGTATGAGTGTGTCTATGGCTCCTTGGCACCTGTTGGTTTCAATGTCAGAGTCAGAAAAGGCTTATTAAAAGACATGACGTAGTCCATTTATTTTAGTCAAGAGTTTTCAGCCCTGCAATTTGCCTGTGAGTGACAGGTTATACTGGACAGTTTCTTATTCAGCTTCCGTCTTCTAACATTGTAGATCACAACCTTATCTTGTTTGTTCAACAGCCCTCCTTCCAGTTCACCCTCCTGCACCAGCATAGAGTTGCTTTATTTTTAGATAATTAACCTTTTCTTTTGCCAGCAGTAGATAAAGTACAGGGCTTCATAATTGATGTGCTGTTGTCTCTGACTTCTTCACACACCCGTGGGTGCTTTCAATCGTTGTTAAGAGCTGGAATCTCGGTTTGAATCCACAACGGAGTGCTGCCTTATTATTTACCCTGAGTAGAAATGCAGCCGAAATCGATGAAATGAATGATTATTATTACCCAGAACTGACTGGAATTCAGATGCTGAAAGATGTGCCCAAATGAATTTTTAAAGAGGCAGAGGTGCACAGAGACTATGTAACACCAAGTAACACCCAGAAACATAGCTCTCATTAGGAGGTGAACATCTGACTGTAATTGAATTTTCAGTACCTAGTTAGCAGAAAAATACAAGAGATTTTATTGACTAAAAAGCTTCTCAGGAGGCATGTTCATTAAAGCAGCACCTAAATATTGAAATAAAAGGCAGTGCCCAAGCCTCCAGGTAGAACCAAGATAAGCAATTCCTAGGAAAATCCTGTCCTGCAAGCCTAATTTCAACAAGCAGGCCTTGGAAATCAGTTTATTGGATATTGGCTGAATAGAACCTTTATCCTGGGGCACAAGGGCTTTTAGTCTTCAGATCATTGAGAGCCTGGGCTTTTATGAGAGCTGTAAATAGGGTGTGATTCATGAATGTACATCATCATTTCTTTGTACTCATGAACACTTGGAAAGTCAGTGTGACCTGGGATTGTGTCTGATTTTTCAAGAAACGGGATTCTGTACTATATCAGAGTCTGACATTGCAGGTGTAATGTAATACGGTGTGCAGCTATCTTAAGATCTGCTGCTGACTCGGTTCCTTTAATTTAAGTTAACCTGCACTTTGCTCAGAAGTAAACATTATGTGCAGAAGAGGGAAAGGGAAATTCTTCACCTTGTTCAGCCATGGACAGGGGAATTCACAGGCTGTCTCTGGATTCCTTTTCAAACTCATCATCATTCCCAGTCTGCTGGACAAGTACATGACTTTACGGCAGTTGTCAGGACCTCTGGAGTTTGACAAGCCCCATTTGCTGGAAAATGAAGGTGCGATTACGTCAGAGCAAGTTGTTGATGCCCAAGAGACTTACGTGCAGTCTTTGTTTCTTCTGTGAACGGTCATTCCCTAATGTAGGAAAGAAAGAGAAGATTCTGTTCACTTGCCTGACCCCATAATACAGCTGAATCCTCACACCTCAGCCCTGAACTCAAATGCTCCTTACTCCTTCTCTTTGCCATGCCTCTACAGAGCGCAAATTTGTCAGCAGCAGCTATGACCCAGTGAAGGTGACAGATTGAAAAACAGGCAACTCCGTGATTTGTTCTCCGTCATCTCCAGGTCTCTTTATCTTCATACCTCCTGCCTGCACCAGCCCCATCTGAGTGACAGCACACAGTGACAGGGAGCAACCATGTTAATGGGAGAGAGAGGCCTTTGCCTCAGCCTTGGTCTGCACAGCCTGTCTGGACTTTTACTGAGCCATCCAGAGGCACGCCTGCCCACACTGAGTAATTGTATTTTTTTGTGGCTGTTATAAAATACATTGGAAACATGTGTACCATTAAACTCCTGCATCCCAATCAGTGTGCATTTTTTTTGCTGTTTTATTTCAATTTAACAGGTTAAAGAAGACATTTCAGTAAGGAGCTGTGACTCTCCTGTAATTCTCTATTTTCTTCGATGGGCTGCAGGAATGTGTATCAGTGTCAGAGCAAACACAGAGCTGCTACAGGTTCAAATTGAGTATTTCATCCTGGCTAAATCACCCCAAAAGGCAACTCAGGGTAGCCTTCCCTCCCTTCAGGATGTTTCCAGGTGGCTTGTGAAAAGGGGGTTCATCTTTAGGGGAGCATTTGGTGTCAGTGCAATACCTGATAAGAAATGTCCATCTTTCTCAGTGGTGCTTTGCAGATATTCTATCTGTCAGAGTCAGATTCCTATAACTACTCATGGGACAAGTTTTCTGCATTGCCCAGGGCTCCTGGCTATCTATCTGGCTATCTCAGTGGGTCATCTCTTTGTTATTGGCAGTGGCACTTAGGGTCTGATTCTGTGTAAAGCACCTAGGAGCTACCTGAGGTTTTGCAGGATCAGTCTGTTATGGACCACCTCGCCTTTATTGAGTTCCTCTTTGTGTACCCTGGCAATTGAGCTGATCAAGAAAAGCAGTCAGGTGTTATTATCTCCACAGTTCTGATAAAGAATGAGGATTGAGCAGCCCAGTTTTTCTCACAGTTTTCAGCTTTCATTGGCCTGTGTTCACGAAAAGTGGTCAAAATGTTGGTTACACTCTCCCCTTCAAATAAGAGAATTCTGTGCCTCTGACAGAAGGTATAAAGTATTTTGTTTATTCACTGAAAGATAGCAATCACGAGCATTAGGTTGTGTTTAAAAGCCTTGGACTTTATTAGGGAAATAGACTTCGGTTTAATAGGAAAGAAAGAGAGAGGTGGAGAGAGTGAAAGGAACAAGAAGGAAATTTCAAAGGAAAATGTTCCAAGACCTCTTATTCATGAGTTTAGCTTTTGCCTGTTAAGCTTAAACAACTTTCCATTAACATTCCTTATTGAGTACTGTGAATGGAAAAAGCAAATAAACACTAGTCTGTGGCCTGATGTGTTGTCAGTGATGCTGTTCGTGATTTTTTTTTCTCTGTCAGTGAAAGGGAAGGTGCCATCACCACCACTGCTTGACAGCCTGGTCAGACTCTTGGCTGCATCTCTGTGCAACACAGGGAAGAGAAAAGAGCTTTGTTTCACCTCTATGCTGCAGACTGAGGACTGTTGTGGGGACTTATAAAATGCACCCCAATGTTTGTGGAAGGAAAGCCTTCTGCCATCATATCCTACACTACCTTTCCTGAGCTGCTCAAGCTCTGTTTTGCAAAGTTAGTAGGGTTTTCTGGAACCCACCACTTTCATCTGAAGACCTTCACATCTGTAATGAGCAAGGACATCTCTTTAATTTCCAGTCTGCATCTTATTAACCCACTTGTTCTTATGCCAGGATTGACCATAGTAGTTCCTTTCTCTCTTTTGTGTTTACCGCCTGCTCCTCCGCACTGGCTTGAAATACATGGACATCAGTTATATCCTCTTTTAAGAGTTCATGCTGAACCTCCATACCCTTCTTATAAAATAATGTCTTATCACCATGCTCAGGTCCCTAGAAGGAGTCAGCAGGCTCATATAACTAAATGCTTTACCCTCTTTCTCATAAATATTGGTACTTTTCATTTCTTGTCTGGGTGTTCATCCTACCACTGACATTGCTTTCTCCATTGCTGTATCTTCCTTTGCCTTGCTTTCCCCTCTGAGTCTGCACAAACTGATGTGTAGGAAAGACACTTCCAGTCTTGCCTTTTCATCTCTTAATTTAAATTTCTTCTTATCAGAAACAATATTTGAAGATGAGTGAAAGAAACTTTCTAACACAGAAAACATGTTTGGGAACATCCTGGATCTATTTCAGTCTTATCCAGATTCTTGAGATAAAAATTCAGGCATATGAATGTAGGTGTCTTCATGAGCACAAGATGACAAAGGCCCCTTTATGTTTATTGGACAATCAGAGCTTGATTCAGATGCTTATGTGTAGATGTCTGATACAATTCATGTTGCCAGAGATCATCTAAGATATATTCACTAAGCTTGCAAATATGACACAGTAACTACAAGAGTGCCACACCTTTCTGGGAAAGCATCTCAAACATAGGTAGGGTCCTCAAGGTCATCTCCGCGACCCTGGATATCTACGCTTCACTGACAGAGTCAGAGCAAAGAGCACAGAGCTATTCAGGTCACCTACACCTGTCTTCCAAATAGCTCTACAGGCTCTGCTGACAGTGGAGTTGAGTATTAATGAGCAACAGGAGTTGTTGTGTTGGAAGTGGCAGGAGCTCTGACACACAGTTCCCATGTTTGTGTGCAAGTTGAAGGCACTCAAATAACCTGCACCTGGGCTGAATATCAGTGTCTGGGCTTAGCTTAGGCTGAGGGGTTTTGAGGGGGCAATTCAGAGCATCCATTAATTGGGTAAGGAATTTCTGCTCTTGAAATCAGATGCTTCCAGTGAGATGGTATTTCTCTGGAGGAGAGGAGGAAGACAGAGAAGAAAGCAGGAATGGAGCTGTTGTATGGGATCTTAGGTTATAAAACAGCTGGCCATGGCAAATATTTGTAGAGAAATGGATTATGAGTCAGTTACATTTCAATCAAAAGGCAGTGTAGGCAAAGTTAAGCTGCTTAAGAAAGATTCTTTTATTATTTATTTAAAAAGGGAAAGCCTTGATGAGTTGAAGGAGCTAATTAACAAATCTCAGGATTTGAATGTGTATATATGAATTTCAAGCAACTACAGAAAATACCTTAAACTTCTATTCCAAGAAAGAAGAGAGAAAAACAAACAGAAAAGGACTGCTAATGTAACTGGATGAATAATCCAGGGGTGAAGAAACCTAAAAACAAGCAGGGAACAGAGGGAGAAAAATGGGAAAATGAAAACAAGGAAATTATAAGTTATAGAGGTAAAAGCAAGATTTTGCAAGCTCCAGGTGAATTAAGACTTCGAAGTTCATGAGAAAAGGATGAAACCTTCACTGGTTATATAAAAAGTAAAGAAATAAGGAAATTGAGCATTACAGGGTGAACATTAAAGATGTTCTATCTTTGTTTCCAAAACCTAAGTGAATGTGTTGCCTCCATTTTCAAGAACTAAGGGAGAAAGGCAGTGGTTAATGCAAATGATATTATCTACATGGAGCTCAGGTGCTTATGAATCAAGGAAGAAATAACCTCTATCACTGGACTTTGAAAGAACCAGCAAAAACACTAGGTTTGGTAGCAAAGTTTTTAAATAAAATTCTTAGTTTAGAGGTGATATTACAGAAATAGAGAACAGCAAAGGTAACATCTATGTTTTAGAAATGTGCAAAATGTGACTTAGAAAACCACAAGCTTGTTCATGTGATCTCAATCAACCACAGGTCCCTAGAATGAAATAAAAGAATGTGAATAACAGGTAAATGAGAGAAATACATAATTTGAAAATGGACTACATAGGCAATTATTAGGTGAACTGGAGGAAGGGATTAGCAGAAGAAATGTTATAGAGAACTGGCTAAAGATAAGCCATAAATGGAGCTAGTATTGAAAGTCAAGACATCATAAGGGAGGCGGTCTCTCTGATGTGGCTAGTGATTTAAATATTTCTTGCCAATGCAGAGAGAAATCAGAGCATCTGAACAAAATGAGACGTAATTCAAAGTTCAAATAAAAAAAGTTTCTGCTTTTGGGGAAGGAGAGAGCTTTTCTGAAAAAAATGACTGAAAGGCCAGCTGACTAGAAGCCAACTACAGTGAAGTAGCCATGAGAAAGAAAAATGTAGTCTTGAGAATATCAGTATATCCAACAAAAATAGGAAAGCAAGTATGCCGTTTCAGAAGACATTTGTGAAATTTTACCTGCAACATCTCGATTAGGTACAACTAGGAGTTTTTTTGGTTTTGGTTTTTTTTAGCTTAGTTAGAGCAGGTGATCAGGGTGCTTTACAGCATGTTAGGTTCGTTTGTTCAACTAGTGATGCTTTTGCTTACCCCAGTTTTATTCACATGACTCAGATTCTCTCCTTTGCACATACATACCAGTATATCCTGTCAGCACTGCCTGGTAACAGCCTGCTACCTTTTTCCTACCTCTGCTCTCTACATGATTTTATGTGCCAGATAGCAACCGTGACTTGGGTGGGAAGTGGACAGACACATCATATTTGTAACTGCAATGAAAGTTATTTTAAAAGCTTCCCTGCTTCTCCTACTCACTGCATTACAGGGGGAGTGCAGATTACAATGCATCTGAGGTATGCTAGTGACAGTGGGCTGGGCTGGTTCCCACTCAGACTTTTGTCCTTCTACTGTTCTTTTACTTACCCATTGTATCCTGACACAACACATCCACCTCGGCTGGCTTTGCAGACTGTTTGACTTGATGATATGTTGTCATAAAACCATCCAAAACCTTTTCTACCAAAGATTAG